TTCAGATCATGTGCCGAAGCTACGTTTGAGCGCCCAAAGCATGCGCAGTCCGTTGCGATATAGCCTGTTCTTGTTTTCCACGGACTTCAAACCTTAGCGTGAGAGTTCACCTAGGTCTTTCACGGAGGGTGTGGGATATAGCGTTTAGCCGTCAAGGGTGTAGGTTCGGCCGTTAGCACCCTTCCCCAGGCTCATAAATACGGACTTGGCTGGGTTGACCGGGAGAAGAACTTCTGCAGACCATGTGGATAGGCGGTTGTGGTCTTGCTGAAATAGGCCACAGTCATCGGGAGCGTCGATTTCTCTCCAAATCTTCATGTCGTCCGCAAACAAGGCACACGGCGACTGGAGAAGCTGCGGTAGATCATTGATGTGGATCAGGAAAAGAGTGGGCCCCAGCACAGTGCCTCGAGGCACGCCACTTGTAGAGGGGTACCAGTCAGTTAGATGGTCGTCGATCTGTGCTCTCCACTTTCGTCCAACAAGAAAGTCGCTGATCCACCGGTGCAGAGAGCCACCGACGCCACGCATGCTGAGTTTGTGAAGGAGAACCTCATGGCTGACCTTGTCGAACGCTTTACTGAAATCGATGAATATCACGTCGACGGACTTCCCCTTGTTTACTGTCCTCAACCACTCATGCCTCGTCACAAGCAGGTTCGTAATGCATGAGCGACCTTGCATAAAACCGTGCTGTGCGGGCGTCAGGACCTCGTTTGACTGTAGCAACTGCAGCAATCTCTTCTTCACGATTTTCTCAGCAACCTTTGCCAAAATAGGTGTCAGACAAATTGGCCTGTAATTTTCTACTTTGCTAGGGTCGCCGCCTTTCGGAATAGGTTCACTCACTTTTCCTGCACCAAATGCGCGACAACGAACACATTCATTACCCACGTGGTCCGTTTAACTGCGAAGACGACATCGACTCAACTCGTGGTCACTTCAGGTCAGCGAACTAACTATGATCCGTGCATTGAAGCTCGGTGAATCCAGTTGCCACCAACCTCGTCGCCGGGATAACAACATTAGTGAGAAAATGAGATAGAACGCAAACAGAATACAAAGAAAAGATTAAAAATGGTTATGAAATCTCACACGGGTTTTGTTCACACGCCAAGCAATATCGTCAGTGACGTGACATAAGTACCAGCCACTTCTTATTTTTCGGTGCGGGCCGGTGGCATATCGACCCGCAGCAGCACTTTGCACTTTGAGGACACAAGGCTTATACCTGCAGCACAAAAGTCAGTGTTGTCAGTGGTACTAATATCCTCAGCGTCCGACCCAAGGAGATCTCAAAGTTTGTCAGTTGGTCGCATTGCGGTACATCTGCTTCTCCGCTCCCTGGTCGAGGTCCGAAAGACGCTGAACACGTTTGGGTGGATACACTTGTTGACATGGCAATATGACGACCTCAGTGGCGTTTGTGTTGTGGATTTTTTTGTCCCTCCCCCTCTAACCACAGTCTCATTTCCGACGCATAATAAGGCCTGTTTTTTGTGGCACAATGGCCTTCTGATATCTTTACGGAACTATGTCCATCCGTCACTGGTGACTCCGCCGTCGTGCCTCTTACATGTTTTTTCTCCTGTGTATTGCGGAACAATAGCTGAGGCGTTTTCCACCTCTAGCTAATATGTACTATGATAATGAGTATGACAAAAAATGCTTTAGGTTAACGGATAAATTATACAAATCTACTGTGAAAATTTTGAGTAAGGCAATGCAACCTGCTGATAAAAATGAGCTCCACCCTCATATTTGGTTTTTGACAAACGTTACTCACCGTTTTTAGTTCACAATGGATGCGGTGATCAGTAACATTGCGGCTCAGCAAAGATGTCTTCGAAAACTAGACCGCCTAAGATTCTCGTTTAATCTTCCACTTGCCACATGAGATGCATGGATGTGAAACGTGCACGTCTGTAGAAAAGCTGTAGTTTACCTAATTTCCGATGCTACTCAGAAAACTTGCACGAGTCCTAACCAACATTGTCGAGTATTAAGATTTACTACGTCAATAACCATCATCATTAGCTAGTGGGAAACGCGTCAGCTGTTGTGCCGTAAAGGAAAATAGACGCAGAGGAGAAACGCCGGCTTAGCCACGGATGGACATCATTTCGTAGAGCTACCAGCCGGCTATTGTGCCACGAAATACAATGTGTATTATGTGTCGAACATGCGATTGTGGTTGACGGAGGAGGGACAAAGAAACCTACAACAAACGCCATTCAGATCGCCTCCTGGTCATATCAACAAGTGTGTCCCGCTAAAAGTGTTCGGTTTTCGGGCTCAAACTATTGAGCCGAGAGGCTCCAACCGAGGCCAACTTCGAAGTAACGGCCTTCACTCCCCTTGACTAAGTCATTGCTTGGTCTCCTCTCTTCTTCCGTCCAGACCCCGGTTGCGCAAACATCGCACGTCACCGGAGTCGATGTTCTGGCGTGTGCAACACATGGCTTATCCAACGGAGCCTGGTTCGTGAAATAGTGCTGAGCTGTTCACTTCCGTTTCATGTGGCATAGACAAGGCGTCGACCACGTTCATTGCTCACGCGATGTCTACAGACTCGTGATTATAATTGCCATCTTTTTGTTTAGTTACTTGCGCTTCTTTTGCCCTATGCTTTTTCAAATGAATCGGCTGTTTTCAAAAATTTAGGTAGGGTTACTTGACATCGGTACTGCATTATACTGGGGATATTTCTTCGCATGTACTCCGGGATTAAAGATTTAACTTGTGCGTAAAGTCAAAATGACCCCTGATATCAAACTGTTTTCACAATTGAATTAACTGTCGTGATACTGTTTTCAATTCTTCAAGATTTTCGGCGGTTTTTATTCTTGAACATTTTCTCTGTGATCTCTAAATTTCTGCTCGAGAAAAATATTTATTTTCATGGAACGCAAACGTTTGTGCCCATTTTGAGTGTTCACTTGCACTGCGTCGATCCCAGTACAGTTTAATTAGCTTTGTACCCTACAATTTTGCTGTTGTTTGATACCGCGAAATGCTTTAAATTACGAAGAGCTGCCATATGATCACCACCCTCTTGCTTACTCACCGATCCTTTACTTTGACCAACTGAAGATAGCTGTCATATATAATTTTTTCAGTTACTTTATATTTGCACTTGCGTTAACAACGGCGTTTATGTTCTTTGGAATTGTCTTACCTATTTCAAAAGTCGGAGATGCCTTCGTGATACAGCAGCATATTGGACGTTAGTCGACTGTCTCTCTTAGTCCTAAACGCTGTGTTTACAGATGCACATTGAGGGACATGGTCCCCTCGATTTGTGACTTCCCTTTCGATATGGTGCTCATGCTCTACTCTTGAATGTTTTTAGGGCACTTGCTTCCCCCATTTGCTCCCTGAACTCCGTTTTTTGTGGTGGTTGCTCCCATTGAGTTATTGGTATATCTCAACGAAGCACCAGTACGAGCTACCCACATGTTACTGTTGGTGACGATGCCAACCTCTTCCAATTGGTCGTGATTTTAGAGTCTACGCGAAAACTTCTCGCACTAGATGCGTTATCACTTGGTTGGACGGTCTAGTTACCTTATCCAAAAGTTTTTCCTCGATTGGGCTTTTCGAAGTTCTGAGTCGTTCGATTAGCGTATCGGCAACAACCATCATCGACGAGCTCTTTATGCGTATAGTGTTTTTAACGAGTGTTTCAGTGTACCTACATCAGTTGACAATCAAGAATTTTACACTTGACCTTCACTTTCCCTCGTTGTGTACCACTTGAAAGGTGATTACTAAGTGTCGATCTTCGCTTCCTCGCCGCTCTTGCTGTGTCCATTATGTAATAGCAGTTTGAACATAAAGTCACCGATGGATTTCTTGCGGCGGTTTTGTTTACGACTATATTTTATCAGATGTCTAGCTCATTCACTTTGCGGCGTCTTTGTTGTAACTGGTGGACACTTTTATGACCTCTTTCGTTTGTTGATTGGACTGGTTCCACAGCATTTTGGACATGCTGACTTTAACCGCACCCCACGTAAACCACCAGTGGTCTCTCTTTGTTTTGTCCAATTCAATCCGCATTACTTCTCACACGTACGCTTCTAATGCCCAGAATAGTTTAAGAAGCAAGTTCTCCATTCATGCGTTCGGGTTTTCTTATTGTTTACCTCTCAACCTGTTGGGAAGAGTGAGGTCTTTTCTAGGATGCCATTCTGTCCACAAGAAAACAGTTTAACTCAGCAGTTCTCGCTGTTAGTTTCCAGCACACTCGCGCGTCTCTCTTCATTTTAGCCTGCTTTCGTAGTGACTGAGCCGCCTTCTAACTATTGATTATAGTATCTGGTGCAGCGTTTCTGGAAGTCGACATTCTGTGTTTGAATTTTAATTACAATTATTTATCTGTTTGTATTGCGCACCTTGTTTTTGTAGCGGCTCCGGTGCAAACGATTTCTGTTTAAGTTATTGATCTCTGATTTTCTGTGGGATTACATGAAGCGCAATTACTTCCGAGGTGAGCCACCGCAGTCTGAAACATCTACCACAGTCGCTTTTGCTTACAAAGTAGCATCGCGTTCCTTTGTTCGGTTTACCCAGACTGCTGTCCAACACCACTTGTAACCACGATCAAATTTTTCTACTGATGACTCGTCTGTCAATAGTGAGCGTCGAATCGTCTCACCAATGCCATTCATAAGAGCTTAGCTAACCACTCGAGCTCAGGCGCCTGCTGCTCTGTCCAAAGTTTAGTAGATTCGTTAACGTGTTACTCGCATGCACTCATTCTATCTGATGCCGTGCTCATTGCGTTGGAACGCTCCTTCATCCAGACTACTATCCATATAAGTCCAAGACCTGTACTAGCCATAGGTCACTGATATTAGCCTCTTGTGATAACCGTTTCCTTTATTTACGTGCTTTCACCCCTCGCTTATGACGGCCATTTGGTCTCACTTGATAAACCACAATCTCTTTGAGCTCACTCGACTCCTCTGAGTGTTTTTATCCTATTATGTTTATAGCCTGCTCCTGTTTTGCGTTCACTGGCGTCGACCACTGGGCGCTTCCACAACTGACAGCCACCACTACCTCAAATCCGTTCGGTCGTGCCATTGTTCACGAAAAAACCGGTGTTGTCGCCCTTCCATGTCGGCATGAATAGGGGTTTGCCAACCTCACCAACCTGTGCCTCTGCTCTTCCTCCTCTACTTGTCAAACATCCGCAGGCTGAACGGATTTCATCCCTCGTACTCAACACCACCACCAATATCAACACTGCACATCCGCTTCAAATCGATCTGGACCACAAGCGCTCCCAATGTTTTCTAAAGCCTCACTTGTCTGACTTTCCGGACACTAGTTCAGTTAAAGGTGGGTTTTGACGAATGACCTTGTGTTGTTTATCCTTAACACTTGTCGTCACCTTTTTGCATGCTGCCACTGGTCTGTCAAGTCACTTTATAATTTACTGGACTGTACTATCCATCTTCCACTTGGTATCTTGATTACACAGCTGTTGGTAGTTGGTGTTACTTTACCGCGGCTCTTCATCCTTGCTGGACACCCTCTCACAACTCCATACCTTTTCTTATCTTCGTCCCTTTCAATTAGCTTTCATCTTTGGTTTGTTATCACCTCACGCCGTAAAGCTCCTGGTTACTTAGATGTGCGACACCTCCAACTGCTATTTGAGAATGGTGGTGGTCGAAGGTGCGTAACATACTACGCTCGAAAAACATGTGTATCCTTCTAAATCTTCAAAGGTTGTGTGTGACAGGCCTTGAGCAGATCCCAGTAGAACCCTGCAGTCGTACTCCGGAGCTTGGCTTGCAATACACTGCCTTTTAGTTCAAACTATTGAGTCAAAGGCTATAAATTTTGTATATTGTACCAATCTCATGTCTCGGAATTGGTTGTGAGTAGGTATCATCTATCCCGCTATAATTGCTATTTCTTTTCGTTGTCTTCTTGCTTGCAACTCTCTTCTCTATTGAGCAAGAGACTACCGCTGACTTGATGATTGCTGCCATCCGTGTGTTTAACTCGTCTTTTCCATCGGTTCGCTTAACGTCCGCACTCGATCAGATTGGTCAACAAGCGACGTTAACACCCACTCTTCATCCTTTTTGAATGCACGTGCGCTGTGTCTCCAAAAATGCACATAAAACAGCAGCTTTGTAACGGATTTTTCTATTCCTAGCTTTGAATCTGCGAACGGCGATGTTTTCCGCATCTTTGGTGAAGCTGGGTCTGTCTTCCGTTTTAAAAGTTAAGAACGAACAACATTTTAGCTGGCGGGATACCCTGAGTTCAATGTATTTCGCGTACTCTCATTCAGCCGCATACATACTAACAATGAAACTTTAAACGCGCGGAAGTGAAAGGGAATGAATACCAACAGTCGATAATCGGCTGTTGCTGTGTCTCGACAGGAATGATCACATCTTACCACGCCGGAGCAAGACTGGCCATAAGTTCCAGTTGTTTGCATAAATTAGGCTCTAGGCGCTGGATGGCGGCAGCCTCAGTGGACCTTAGCAGGTTAGGATTACTTTTCCTTCTAAGAAATTTGAATGCTCCTCGGGGGCTTTGGCACATTGTACCCACCAGTCAAGGCTAGATTTCGCGGGATGTGCTTCGAAATCCGGGTTGACCTCGTGCTCTCAGTCCGGCCGATGTACATGCTGCCACATGTGCAATTAAACTAATAGACGCAGGAGGCGGTAACTTGAGAGTGAGGCCTGTATAGGTTGTATTCGGGCAGCAACTTTCTGGTTTGGTGCAACAGCACGAGCTCAGCTTCAGGGTAGCATCTCTTTATGGACTGCTGTATGCGATGGCAGAACTTTCTATCATTCTGTTACCCCTTATACGGTAATGTAATGAAGACCTACTTCTTAGTAACTTGAACCGGTTTTTGCATTCTCCTTGTTTCTGTCCCATACTTCGCAATAAACTTATCAGGGTAACCACTAGCGCGTAAGGTGGAAATGACACTTTGTAGTTCTTTCTCATTTGATTCTCCCGAACAGATTCGTTGAGCTCTCACAAAAGAAGTACGAACCAACGAGCATTTGTGGCTCAAGGGAGGGTAGCTGTTGAGATTTAGATACTGCCCTGACCAACTCGGTTTTTGACAAATCGACCTAACGAGTGAGCCATCTGATCTCTTCTCTAGGGCTTTCAGTATTACCATCGGTAAACAGGCGGAAGCCACTGCTCGGTCAGGTACCATTGAACAACCGCATGTGTGCGTTTTGACTTGGAATCTCTATTTGGGTTAGTAAACACAGTCTGCAGTGGAGGTGTCTTTTCATCACATTCGTTTAATCTGTCACTGATGGTAGTTTTTATGATATCATAAACTATTCCTGTCGTCAGTTCTCATCTCTTCTCCAAATGGTGATAATACATTGACATCGTGATTGTTGCTTGGGATATGAATGCCCGAGTTGGGAGACCACTACGGGTCAACACACATCGAACACACAATGGCGATCGATTACTGCGACTGTTCGTCAACTACAACTACAACAGCAACACTGCTTTCTAGCGCTAACGTTCCCATCCTGTCATGTGGCACCAACCGAATCCCTTGTTGCTTCGGCTACAAATGACGCTCATATCAGTCCAAAACTGTCGGTCAATTTGAAGCCTGTATTCCGACCAGGTTCTGATGTGCGCACGCCTGGCCCTCACTCTTCTCGTTTCCAAGAAACCGTCAACTTCTACGTTCCTTACTCGTAACTTGGGCTTGCAATCCACAATATCATGACGAACTGGTCCATCAGTTGCCAGTGGTGAATGAGGTCGGGGAGTCAAATTCTGACTGAAACTGTCCCAATTGTGCCATAAAGAATGCTTTTTGACGCCTGCCTTAGTGCAAACTTGAGACGTCCGGCGCCTCGGTTAGTTCGATCGAAGCATGCTAACAAGTTACAATGGGTACTGACATTCAGCGTGTCCGTAACGCCATATAACGAATGCTGACAAGTGGCTGCACGAACCACCTGCCTACTTTTCGTCAAACATTGGAGTGGATACTTATAAAGAAACCGTTTAAGAGCTTTTCGTATACCTTGATTATGCCAGCTTGTGGTATTGCGTATGGGTGAAGGACGTATTAGAGAAGCGTCTTCGTTCTGAAATCTCTGCTGAGACTCTCGAGGCCGGCTAAGGGCTTTCGAAACGCTCTCCCCTAAGCTCCCCGAGAAGTGAAGTTTGCTAAACTTGTCCCATATCTCCTCTCTTCTTAAATCCTCAATCGAACTGGCGGTAAATGACTCCGTCTTCCTAGGTTAAAATTCTGCCAAGTGACTGACCGATAACGTCTGACTATGTTAGCGACATACATCTTCTTGGGTCTTACGCAGGGGCTATACAAGCTCTAACGAAAAAGATTGACGCGTATCGCTGCATACTTCGATGTGTGCTTTGCGACTTCAAACTGCAAAGTACTGCTGCAGGACTGGATCGGCACACCGGTTCTACCTATCACCGAACATTCACTGAAATTGCTGAATTGGCTCACTAACCTTGGAAATTGTGTCTTCACCAGCGGTCGCATCAACAAGACCCGTTTGGTTTTCCGGGGGCTCAGCCATCTACGTAGACGATGGGATGTCAGTCCGTCAGTCGAAGGTGGAAACGTTAATGTTGTTATATGCGCGGTATTACCATATGTGTTACAGACCTGGTCACTTCGCGTTAACTATAATTGGCCACCATTGTTTGCGAAGTATTACTCACATCTGGCGGGAACACAGGCTCTAGCCAAGTCAACGATGCGCGTTATGCACCCATGAAGGGTGAATGTTCAGTTACAACTACAACAATCACGCTAAAGAAATAACATTAAAGAGAATAAGGTGCACCAGCAATTGGAAGAGGTGGCAGTTTGGCAATAAGTTCTTGTTTGACTACATGTTGATCCCTCAGAAAACCTTCGAAATGGAACAATTGTTATACCCTAAGTCCGGGTGCGGCAATAAATGTCTTTGTACGTTTGTCTGGTCCAAGACGTCGAGATACATTCCAATGGTGCACGATAGGGAGAGTGACTGGCGTTTGTCAGTATTTTTGACACCAGTTTTCCGTGGGAGCGAACGTGATTAAACACAACCATGTCAGTAAATTCTGACATTGAAATTCCGCTACATCGGGCAAGATGTTTCAGTGACCTGTTGGTCATGTTGAGTTATCTGTTTTAGAGTCCAACGCATACCACAGGTGAGCAATAAGTCCAGTATGTTAGTACGCATGCGGTGACAAACCGTAAGATCAAGTAACGAGGCACGGATGAAGACCTAAGTCTGGAGACATGAAACGTTAGTCTCCTTACTTTAGTGAATGTTTCACTCACATGATGGGACCACATGAGATCCCTACTTAGTGTAACTCCTAGATCTTTCACTGATATACAGGACTTCCGACTGACACTGCCAATATTAAAATGCGGTGGTGTGCGTGAGTAGTTGCTGGTAATAATTTACCTTGGACATCGAGAAATGAACATCTGTACACTGATGCGTTGCGTGAAAAACAGCGGTATTTGGACCAGGCTGTGCGGTTGTCCAAGAAGCATTGTAAGCTGGCCGATGAACCTGTGGTGTGATTGTGTACACCAAGGATCACGTCATCAGCATACTTCAGCAGGATGGCTTACTTTTTGGACATAGGGTGAGTAGTACTGATTTCCACCATCTAGTGTTTTACAGAAAATCTATTGGTATTTCACTCGTGTTTGTTTAATCTTAATCGCTTACGTTGGCTAGACCATGTCCTCCTCCGTATGCCCGTTGACCGCTTTCCTCGACCTGCATTATACGCCGTTGCTGCGCTAAGCTGGGTGAAAGCGCGAGGTAATATAGAGGCCTGAAGCATGTGACTGAGAGACTTGGTCAGGCTGGTGCGTGCCGTCTTTGTGGATCGGGACGTCGGGATGTTCCACATCAGTGATTAGAGGCTGTATCTGATATAAGTCAGTTGCGTAGTTTGAAGCACTCCTGGATTCTATTTCTGTGCCCAACTCATGATTCTCAATCCCGTTTACTCTTTCTCTTTTCTTCACTACTTTTTCTTTGTGCATTGTGCGTTCTACCTTGGTTTTCTTTCCATTGTTCTCTAGTGCCAACATGATGACACGAGTTGTGTAACTGGATCCACCGCACATCGGTGCCCAGCTAGTAGTCGCTCAACCGAACTGTACTGAACTCATTCTATAGAAGTTAACTGAAGTCAAATTTAGCGCGTTTACTTTCGTTGACTCATCTGGATGATTATTTCGGCACATTTGGACACCTTATGTCGAAACGGGTACCTATAGATGCATTACCTGCAGATGTCTCACAGTTTGCGGGATTCTGTGAAAA